GGCCCGGTGGTCCCGCTCCGTCCTCCCTCAGGCGGCGGCTGGGCCTGGAGAACTCGATGGCTGAAACCAGCCCAGCAAGCCCCGAGTGCTCGGGCAGGTGGGGGGTCGCGGCCTTCTCACGTCCCATACTTCTCCCCACTTGGTTCTTGGGGTGGGGTGGGGACAGCCTTGCCCGGCGGGCGTGGCAGGCCCGCGAGGCCCCCCGAGGGAGGGGTCCAGGAGCCAGGTGTGCGGGTGCCCCCACCCGCGCCCCACGGCTTTCTGGGAACCGGGCCTCCCTCCTACCTGCTCTCACCTGTTCCCGGCGCCTACGGTGAAGGAGAGCGCTCGTGCCCGCCGTCAGTGCGGCACCAGCGCCATGGAGCAAGCATGCGGCGGCAGCAGGCGGCCCGCCAATTCCTGCCGGGAGGCCCGCCCGCTGGCGCAGTGTGCGCAGGTGCCGCCGGCGCCTGACACCTGCGCCGCGCGCGCCCCCTGTCCGGCAGAGCGCGCGGCTGCGCTGCGGCGAGGCGGAGCAGGGGCCCGTTCCCCAGGGGTGCGGCTCCTGCCCCTCCTCTTCCCCTGGACCCCACCCCTTCTGACGCCCCGCCTGGACCTCGACCCCGAAGCCCGCAGAGCCCGCCGTCCGCCAAGGGCTTCCCGCCCCTCCCTGTCCCTTCCCCGGCTCAGGACCGGCCCCAGCCCCTCCGCCTCATCCCACCCTGTCCTGACCAACGCAGGCTGGGGATATCCTCTGCCTGCTCTGCCTACCCAGACTGGGCCTTTCTGGGCGTGGCCCGGTGACCCCCAACTGTGAGCACACGGCTGAAAACCCCCAGCATTCCTACCTGTCGTGCACCTGTAGGACGTTTTTTCTTTTTCTTTTTGAGACAGAGTATCACTCTGTTGCCCAGGCTAGAGTGAGTGCCGTGGCAGCAGCCTCAACTCCTGGGCTCAGCGATCCTCGCTGCCTCAGCCCTCCCCGAGTAGCTGGGTACTACAGGCATGCCCACATTGCCCGGCTCATTTTTTCATATATTCTGCAGTTTGGCCAATTATTTCTTTTTTCCTTCTTTCTTTTTCTTTTTTTTTTAGTGGAAGAGCGGGGATTCTCACTCTTGCTCAGCTGGCCTCCGAACTCCTGAACTTACTTGCGATCCTCCCGCCTCGGCCTCCAGGGTGCTAGGATGACCAGTCAGCCGTGGAGCAGCCGTCGCCTGGCCCACCTGTTAGGGCGCCTTTTAAGGGTTGGGGACTCCGCAGAGGGAGGGCCTCTGGTCCGGCCCAGACACTGGTTTCTGGAATGCGCTGGGGAGAGCCTTCACTGGGAACGCGACTGGACCAGCGACCCCGCCACCGCGGACGACATTGGTGGCACAGGTGAGACCTCACTTGCGGCCCCCTCGACCTCCAGGAAAGACTTGGGGTCCCCGCCTGGCCGCCATCCCGGGGCCCAGTGTATGGGTTGCAAGCTTGGGGCCTCCCCCGCCATGTCCCAGACCCCCGCCCTCCCCCACGGTGCCTGAGTCCGCTCCCATACAACTCAGATCGCTCCCATCGAGGTCCAGGCTCGTGGGGATCCTTTATATAAATGAGACCCAGAGAGCCACGCGGCCCTCCCAGGAGCCCCTGTGGCAGCTCAGGTTTCTAGACGCCAGGCCAAAAGGTCTGCCAGTGGCTGCGAAGCTGGCCCACGGGCTGAGTCCGGCCCAAGAGCGCGTCGGTGGTGAGGCAGTTCCGCGTGTAAGTGGCCTCTCCAGTTGGCCTGGACCATCTTGGCCGCCTCTGCTGCTCGAGGAGAATTCGGCTGGACACCAAGAAGACCTTGTTCATGGGAGCCACGGGTGCCTCCTAAGCAGGAAATGAGCCCTTGTTCCCTAGCCCCCCCTGGGGCCCGCGGTCCGCTCCGGCGGCTGGGCTTGGAGAACTGAGGCTTGAAACCCAGCCAGCAGCCCCAGGGCTCGGGCAGGTGGGGGGTGCGCCTTCTCACGTCCCAACTTCTCCACTAGGTTCTGGGGGTGGGGTGGGGACAGCCTTCCCGGGGGCTGGCAGGCCCGCGAGGCCCCCCGAGGGAGGGGTCCAGGAGCCAGGTGTGCGGGTGCCCCCACCCGCGCCCCACGGCTTTCTGGGAGCCGGGCCTCCCTCCTACCTGCTCTCACCTGTCCCGGCGCTACGGGTGAGGGGAGAGGCGCTCGTGCCCGCCGTCAGTGGCGGCACCAGCGCCAGGAGCAGCAGCGGCGGCAGCAGGCGGCCCGCCATTCCTGCGCGGGGAGGGCCCGCCGCTGGCGCAGGTGTGCCGCCAGGTGCCCGCCGGCGCCTGACACCTGCGCCCGCGCGCGCCCCCTGCCGGCAGAGCGCGCGGCTGCGCTGCGGCGAGGCGGAGGCGGGGCCCGTTCCCCAGGGGTGCGGCTCCTGCCCTCACTCTTCCCTGGACCCACACCCTTCTGCGCCCCCGCCTGGACCTCGACCCCGAAGCCCGCAGAGCCCGCCGTCCGCCAAGGGCTTCCCGCCCCTCCCTGTCCCTTCCCCGGCTCAGGACCGGCCCCCAGCCCCCTCCCCTCCTCCCACCCTGTCCCTGACCCCGCAGGGCTGGGGATATCTCTGTCCTGCTCTGCCTCACCCAGACTGGGCCTTTCTGGGCGTGGCCCGGTGACCCCCAACTGTGAGCACACGGCTGAAAACCCCCAGCATTCCTACCTGTCGTGCACCTGTAGGACGTTTTTTCTTTTTCTTTTTGAGACAGAGTATCACTCTGTTGCCCGGCCTAGAGTGAGTGCCGTGGCAGCAGCCTCAGACTCCTGGGCTCAGCGATCCTCGCTGCCTCAGCCCTCCCGAGTAGCTGGGACTACAGGCATGCGCCACATGCCCGGCTCATTTTTTCTATATATTTGCAGTTGGCCAATTAATTTCTTTTTTCTTTCTTTTTTTTTTTTTTTTTTTTAGTAGAGACGGGGATCTCACTCTTGCTCAGGCTGGCCTCGAACTCCTGAGCTATTGCGATCCTCCCGCCTCGGCCTCCCAGGGTGCTAGGATGACAGTCAGCCGTGAGCAGCCGTGCCTGGCCCACCTGTAGGGCCTTTTAGGGCTGGGGGACTCGCAGAGGGAGGGGTCTCTGGGTCGGGCCCAGACACTGGTTTCTGGAATGCGCTGGGGAGGGCTTCACTGGGAACCGACTGGACCGCACCCCGCCAGCCGCGGACGGACTTGGTGGCACAGGTGAGACCTCACTTGCGGCCCCTGACCTCCAGGAAAGACTTGGGGTCCCCGCCCTGGCCGCCATCCCCGGGGGCCCAGTGTATGGTTGCAAGCTTTGGGGCCCCTCCCCCGCCATGTCCCAGACCCCGCCCCTCCCCCCCACGGTGCCTGAGTCGCTCCCATCAACTCAGGTCGCTCCATCGAGGTCCAGGCTGTGGAGGATTTTATTAATGAGACCCAGAGAGCCACGCGGCCCCTCCCAGGAGCCCCTGCTGGCAGCCAGGTTTCTAGACGCCAGGCCAAAAGGTCTGCCAGTGCTGCGAGCTGGCCCACGGGCTGGTCCGGCCCAAGAGCGCGTCGGTGGTGAGGCAGTTCCGCGTGTAGTGGCCTCTCCAGTTGGCCTGGACCATCTTGGCCGCCTTCTGCTGCTCCGACACTTGCCGGCGGATCCGGAAGCCCCTCCACGCGGACTGGATGGAGGTGGCCGCCTGGTTCTGGCGGCGCAGCTGCCTGGGGCTCGGGGACGCCAGGCGGGGGACCGGGGACCACGGCGGCGTGCCCCCCTGGCCCGCGGCGCCCCGGCCCACGCCCTGCACCACGCGCGTGGGCTGGGTGTGGCCGCACGTGTGGCAGGTGCGGGGGCTGGAGCCCACGAGCATGACCACGCTGGGCGGGCCCCCCACGCCGGAGCCCAGCGACTGGCAGAGGCTGCAGGCGCGCGGCTGGCAGGACTGGAAGCAGCGGTGCTCGGAGCCGGCCCTGGCGCCGCGCTCCTGGAAGCCCGGCCGGTCGGAGGCGGCCGCCGAGCGGCGGCGCAGCTCGGCCCACACGACGGGGAGGAGCATCCGCTGGCGCCGCGCGCTGTCCCTGCGCGTGCAGTAGCCCCGCCACGCGGCCTGGATGAGCGTGGTGGCCCGGTACAGCCGCGCCAGGTTCCGCCGCACGCGGTAGCCGCGCCAGTGGGCCTGGATGACCGTCGCCATCACGTGCCACACGCGGACGGCGCGGCGCACCAGGTATCCGCGCGCGCCCGCCTGGATGGTGGTCACGGCGCGGATGAGGATCGCCTCCACCGTCTGCATGGACACCATCAGCTCCGGCGACAGCCTGGGGTCCACCGCCGACGGGCGGCGCGCCGGCTCCCATGGCGCGCGGTCCCGGGCCGGCTCCCACGCGGCGCGGGGGGCGACGGCGAAGCCCGTGGGCTTGACCGCCACACGGGGCACAGCGGAGCTCCACCGTCGGCCACCAGCCACGCCAGCATCCACGGGGCCCTGGAGTACAGCGGGGTTTAGGGGCGCCTTGTGACTCGCTGCGGGACTCATGAAAGCCTGGGGCCCCAGCGGCATGTCCTGGCTAAAGAGGGGCTTCAGGGAGCCGCTGGGCGAAGACTCGTAACCGAGAGACACCCTCCGAACGCCCGTCCCCAGCCTGGGGACGGTGGCGCTGGGCACCCCACCACTGCAGTGGATGATGGGGGCCGGGCTGGCCAGGGGCACCCCCTCGGCGTGCCCGGGGCCGCACGACCAGGCCTGGGGCGCCTGCTTTTGCAGCTCGTGGGAGGGCACAGTCCTGGCCAGGGACCCTTCTAGAATCTCGGGGATGATGCTGCCGTACATGGATCTGAAGGGTTTTTTGTGGCCCACAGACGCCCGGCAGCTGCTCTGGGCCGGGTGGTCCCCAGGGGCTGGTTTTTGGACGGCACTGGGGACAGCGTTCGTCTGGAGGTGGCCGCACGCTTCCTTTCTAGCCGTGGCCAGATAGGGCACCACAAGCGAGTTCACCCGGGGAGGCTGTGGGCTCTGGGGTTCCCACGGAGGGCTCCCCATCCTGGACGCAGACCCCGGCTGCAAGCCGAGTGCCGTGGGGCTGCCACGGGCCAGCTGGGGCGACCTGGGGGCTACCGCAGAAGCCACTGTCCCTTGGTAATGGCCTTGGGGTCCGACGTGAGCCACCGACTGCTGGTGAACTGAGGGGGGCTCGGTGGCCCTGCCACCCAGAGACCTCCTCTGCACATTAGGGGTCCCGCCGGCAGCCACGAGGGGGGTGCTGGGGAACCCGCCGCCGGGCGCCGGGGCTGGCTGCAGGGTCAGGGTGCTGCTGCTGACCATGGAGTGTTTGAGCTGGAAAAGGACCGGGGCCGAGCCCTTGGCGTGGCCGGGAGCCTCCCCGCCAAACAGCGGGCCCGGGCCTTGGGGAAACGTCTCCTGCTCAAACGAGGACCTACGGTGGTGGCCAACGCTGTCTCCCAAGAGACCGTGGTCCATCCACGGGGTGGCCTTAAGGACAGCGGCTTTGCTGGCTAGGTCATCGGACTCCGCGCTGGATGCCGACTCGAGGGACAGCACCTCCTCAAACTCCCCCGGCCTCGCCGGGGCCCAGTCCTCTGCGGCCCCCGGTGACGGCCACCCATAATCTCGGCTCAGCTGTAAGGGCCCGGACAGCAGCGGGGGCTCCCGGTGGAGACTCCTGGCTCTCAAGGGCTGAGGGTGAACCTGAGCCAGGTTAGTGGCATGCGCCACATGCACGGGGGCTATGCACCTCTCCACGGCCACCCCGTGGTACGGACGGGGCGAGGCCGGAGTGAACACAGCCGGAGTTAAGCAGCCCTGGGGCGAGCCCGGGGTGGCCGGGGTGGCCACGGGGCTTGCCGACCGCCCGCGCTTCTTCCTGTCGGTGCCGCAGGGAGGGCTCTGGCCCACGCCCCACATCACAGCCCCCGGGGGGAGACTGGCAGCTACGACACCAGGCACAGCGCCCGGGGCCACGCACGGGATCACACCTGGGGCCATGCCCGGGGTCACACCTGGGACCATGCCCGGGGTCACACCTGGGGCCATGCACGGGGTCACACCTGGGGCCATGCCCGGGGTCACACCTGGGGCCATGCCCGGGGTCACACCTGGGGCCATGCCCGGGGTCACACCTGGGGCCATGCACGGGGTCACACCTGGGGCCATGCCCGGGGTCACACGTGGGGCCATGCCCGGGGTCACACCTGGGGCCATGCCCGGGGTCACACCTGGAGCCATGCACGGGGCCATGCATGGGGTCATCCTGCGTGCCGGGGAGCCTGGGACAAGACCACCCCCCGCTCTGCCCGTCTCTGCCTGCTGGCAAGCGGAGGGGCCAAAGAGCCCCACAGAAGGGCGGCCGTAGTCCAGAGGCTCTGGGAGAGCGGCCTCCATCTGAGACACGCTGGGGTCCACATTCCCCAGGTAGAATCTGGACAGGTCCCTCCCCGGCCTGTGGGGCGTGGAAGCCCGAGAGAGGCTGGGGCTCCCCCCGGGGGACGTGGAGGCTCGCCGGTGCATGAGAGGCCCGCCCGCGTCCCAGACTTGGGACGCAGTGGGAGCCGGGCCGCCGGCTGCCTGGTGCAGACTTGGGCCGGTGATGGTGGCTGCGTTCCGCCGGGAGGGGCACCCCCGCGGGCCGGCGGGGCCCTGAGACATGCTAAAGAGCGTGGGCGTCGGCCCCGGGGGCGAGCCGGCGGCCAAGCCCCTGAACGGCGTCCGCTTGGACGGGCTGTGCCCCCGGCCCAGGCCGCAGGCCTCCTTGTCAGCCGCAGGGACCTGGCAGAGATTCGGTGTCGAGATGGTGACCACGGTAGACGGGCACACGCCCAGACGCCTCCCGCCGCCCCTGGGTGGCCGGCGGAACCCAGTGGGTGCGGGGTCGAAGTCGGAGTCCTGGAAGCTGGAGACCACCCGGCCCACCCTTAGGGGCTCCTCGCAAGGGTCCACCCCGGCGCCCGGCGGTGGCTGGTTGAAACCGTGGTCCATGCCCCCAGCCACACACGGGTAGGGCCTACCTGGGCTGACCGAAATGACAATGGAAGGATGGTACAGACTGGGGGCTACCGCGTCCAGCCTTGGGCACGGCACCTGGGACCCCGGCCTGGGACCCCAGCCTGGCTCGCTGAGGCTCATCACAGACGGCTGGGGCAGGCTAGAGGTCAACATGGTGGCCGTAGGTGGCTGCACCAGGCTTAGGGCCTCCCTGCAGGCCATGGGTGTCTGGAATAGGCTGGCCATAGATGACTCAGCTAGGCTTGGGGACACCCCACAGGCCATATATGGGTAGCCTAGGGTTGGGGACACCCCACTGGGTCCTAACTGGTGGGGTAGGCATGGGGGCAACCCAGTGGTTTGGGATGCCCGAGCTAGGACTGGAGACATCCCGGGGGTCTGAGTTGGTTGAGCTATACTGGGGGCCACCTCATTGGCCGTAGATACGTGGGCTAGGCTTGGGGACGCCCCATTGGCCGAAGGTGGCGGGACTATGCCTGGGGTCACCCAAAGAACTTGAGATGGCTGGGCTAGCTCTGGGGCCGCCCCACTGGCTGGTGATGGCTGGGCTGGCGCTGGGGCCGCCCCATTGGCTGGTGTTGGCTGACCTAGGCCTGAGGACCTCTTAATGGTCATGGATGTCTGGGCTAGGTTGGCGGACAGCGCCTTGGCCAAATATGGTTGGGCTGGCCCCGGGGCCGCCCCATTGGCTGGTGATGGCTGGGCTGGCCCTGGGGCCGCCCCATTGTGTGTTGATGGCTGGGCTGGCCCCGGGGCCGCCCCATTGGCTGTTGATGGCCGGGCTGGCCCCGGGGCCGCCCCATTGGCTGTTGCTGGTTGGGCTGGCCCTGGGGCCGCCCCATTGGCTGTTGCTGGTTGGGCTGGCCCTGAGGCCGCCCCATTGGCTGTTGATGGTTGGGCTGGCCCTGGGCCCTCCTCATTGGCTGGTGATGGCTGGGCTGGCTCTGGGGCCGCCCCATTGGCTGTTGCTGGTTGGGCTGGCCCTGAGGCTGCCCCATTGGCTGTTGATGGCTGGGCTGGCCCTGGGCCCTCCTCATTGGCTGGTGATGGCTGGGCTGGCTCTGGGGCCGCCTCTTTGGCGGTAGAAGGCTTGGCTAGCTCTGGGGCCTCCCCACTGGCTGCTGATGGCTGGGCTGGCCCTAGAGCCGCCCCTTTGGCCTTAGAAGACTGGGATAAGTTTGGGGATGTCCCACCTGCCTTTGAGAGGCGGCGTGGACGTGGGGACTTCTTATGGGTCATAGATGACCGGGCTGGCCCTGGGGCCACTCCATTGGCCGTAGATGGCTGGCCTGGCCCTGGGGCCGCCCCAGTCACTGCTGATGGACGGCCTGGCCCTGGGGCCGCCCCATTGGCTGTTGATGGCCTGCCTGGCCCTGGGGGCGCCCCATTGGCTGATGATGGCTGGGCTGGCCCTGGGGGCGCCCCATTGGCTGGTGATGGCTGGGCTGGCCCTGGGGGCGCCCCACTGGCTGCCCGGTTGGTGGCAGATGGCCGGCCTAGGCTGAGCACCACCCCACTGGGCATAGTTGGGTGGGCTGGCTCTGGGGACACCTTACTGGCCCCGGGAAAGTGACCTAGGTTTGGGTCCACCCTAGCAGCCAGTGTGGGCTGGGACAGGCTCGGGGCCAAGCGCTTGGCCCGGTGTGGCTGCCGACACACAGGCGGGGCCACCGTCCCTAAAGACAGAGTCCTCCTGGGCTTGGGCCTGAAGGTTTCCCGATGCATTTCCTTCAGCAGGTCTACGGAGCTTCCCCCCAAGGAGAACGTGGCCACCTTCCTGTCTGAGACCCAGTGCATACTCAGCAGCGTGAGGTGGCCGGACGCGGGCCTGTGGGGGCCAGGTGGCACTTTCTCCAAGGCCACCGCAGGCTGGCAGGGAAGGTCTGGGGTCCAGAGTCTGTGTTCAACTAGCTCAGTCTCTGCTATGTCCCCAGACCTCTGGAGCTGCACCCTGGTCTCCTGAGGAAGGAGGGGCAGCAGGAGGTCCCCTTCTAAGCCGCCCTCCCAGGGGCCCCCCTCCGTGGAGGGGCCGAGGAGGGAGGGTTGTCTCTCCAGGGGGCTCTGGGCCTTGCTATCATCCAGGCTGCAGATCACGGTGCCCCGGGAGAGGCTTCTGTCCAGGCTGCTGTCCGGCCCCGGCGGCAGGCTGACCGCAAACTCAGTGACAGCGGATGGGGGGTGGCAGGTGGCTGGCTCCTGGGGGCGGGGCGGGGCCGAAACACAACGCTCGGCCGCCTTCCCCAGCTGCCCGGGGACAAACCTCTGGGCGTGGACTTTCGCCAGCCCGCTGCCCGGGGCGGCGTAGAACGGGCCGTGGTACCCCTGGGTCCTGGACGCCTGGCCCCCCGCGGTGGCCGCCTGCAGAGCACTTGGAGTCACCTCCCTGCTCTCTGGGCGCGCCTGTTTGTGGAGGCGGTGCTGAGTCCTGCTCTGCAGGGTCTTCTGGGAGTCCCGGGCTGGCCGAACCCCAGCCCCCGGGGAGGGTGCGTCCAGGCTGGGGAACCCCTTGTGGACCCTCGGGGACTGACACCAACAGGCAGCACCCCCACAGGCGGGGTATGGCTGCAGGACGCGTGCGGCCCGCCCCCTGCTCACGCCGCCCGCCGGCCGGCCCCTGGCCACCCCGCCTGCCCCCGTCGACGCGGCCCAGGGCCTGGGGGCCACCCTGCCGACCATGTGGGGCCTGTGGGAGCTCGGGGCCGTGCTGTAGGGCACCGAGGGCCGGTTGGTGCTGGGGCCCACCCCGTTGGCAATGAGCGGCTGCCACAGACCGAGGGGCGGCTGCAGGGGGCGTCGCCCATGCACCTCGGGGCCCTCCCCGCCCCCCGGGGGGCCGAGGTCTGACGCCAGCCCGCCCGCCCCCAGCGCCAGGCACAGGCTCTGCTTTCTGAACCTGAGGGTCAGGTACAGGCTGGAGGCGTCGCTGCCAGGCCCCACCTCCCAGGACAGCATGGGGTCCAGGCCGGCGCTCAGGGCGCACCGGTGGACACTGGTGACCCCGACGCCCGGCACGGAGGCTCCCACGGGGACCCCCGGTAAGCAGGGCGCCCCCCAGGCCACGGGCCCGTCCCCCATCTCCTGCGCGGCCCCAGCAAAGCCCCCCCAGGCCCCGACCCGGGAGCCCCTGACCTTGCTGCACCGGGATCTCGGGAGGCCCAGGGCGGGCCCCCAGGGCGCCGACAGGGTCCCCCTGCAGTCCACCGCCGCCACCGGGGTCACGCCGCTGCCCGCCACCTTCGAGGCGGCCTTGGGGAGGATGGCCCCGGTCCTCAGGGCCGCCTGCGACAGAGACTGGCTCAGGACGGCGCCCAGCTCGCCCTGGCACAGGGCCTGGCTCAGGGCCGCGCGCTCCTCCTCCGTCAGGGCCTTGCTGAGCACCTCGGCCAGCCGGCCCTGCATGGCCTTGGTGAGCTCCGCCCGCAGCTCGCCGCGGGACAGGGCGCGGGTCAGCGTGACGCCCAGCTCGCTCCAAGACAGCGCCTTCACCAGCACCATGCCCAGCAGGCCCTGCGGCAGGGCCTTGGCCACGGTGGCGCCCAGGACCTCGCGGGACAGGGCCTGGTTCAGGGCCGCCCGGACCTCCCCCTGGGAGAGGGCCTTGGCCAGGAGGGCGCGGAGGTCCTCCTGGGAGCCCAGCACGGCGGCCAGCTCGGCGCACAGCGAGGCCAGCTGGGAGGCCGCCATGTCCTCTTGGCAGGGCGCCGCGTGGCCGGCCAGCGGCGGCGGGGCCATGCGGGGCCCGCCGTCCCCCCAGGACTCCACGTTGCAGGCAGGCTGCCCGGCGGCCGCCAGCACCGGCACCAGCATGCCCTGGCTCTCGGGGGACACCGGCCGGGGCCCCTGGGGGGTCTTGCTGGCCGGCGGCGGCGGCTGCTGCAGCAGGGTCAGTCTGTCCTCCAGCTTGGCCCGGGCGCCCGGGTGCAGGCAGGGCTGGGCGGCCGCCTTGGGCCCGGCCAACAGCGGCTGGGACTGGGCCTTGCAGGTGAGGTCGGCGGCCGGGTGCGCCGTGAAGAGACACTTGGCTGCCTCGGTGACCAGCTGGGCCTGGGACTGCGCCTTCGTCAGCCCGGAGGGCAGGTGTCCCTGGGACTGGAACTTGGCGGCTCCCATGGCCAGGTGGGACTGGGAGTGCACCCTGCTCAGGCACGTGACCAGATGAGCCAGCGAGGGGGCCTTGGTCACCTTGGTGGGCAGGTGCAGCTGGGACGAGGCCTTGGCCGAACACGTGCCCAGCTGTGCCAGGGTCAGCTCGGCGGGTGGATGCTCGTGGCACAAGGTCTTGGTCAGCGAGGGGACCGGCGGTCCCTGGGGCATTGAGGGTGGACGCTCGTGACACAAGGTCTTGGTCATCGAGGGGACCGGCGGTCCCTGGGGCATGGAGGGTGGATGCTCGTGACACAAGGTCTTGGTCATCGAGGGGACCAGCGGTCCCTGGGGCATTGAGGGTGGACGCTCGTGACACAAGGTCTTGGTCATCGAGGTTACCAGAGGTCCCTGGGGCATGGAGGGTGGACGTTCCTGGCAGAAGGCCTTGGTCAGCGAGGTGGCCGGCAGTCCTTGGGGAATAGAGGGTGGACGCTCGTGGCACAAGGTCTTGGTCAGCGAGGGGACCGGCGGTCCCTGGGGCATAGAGGGTGGACGTTCCTGACACAAGGCCTTGGTCAGCGAGGGGACCGGTGGTCCCTGGGGCAGGGTCCCTGCCATTTCTACAGGCACGTACACCTGGGACTGGACCTCGATGACTTCTGTCCTCAGGTGAGTCTGCAGTGAGTCCTTGTGTCCTTCCTCGACCACTTTGGTCCAGGACATCATCCTGGTCATTCCTACGGGCACGCCGGTCTTGGGGGCCACCTCTGCGTCCCTCTGTCTCTGGGGGCCGGCCCTGACTCTCTCAGCCTCTGGCGGAGGCCTGTCCCCAGCCTTGGGAGCCGTGGCCGCCGCCCCCGCCGGGGCGCCCGGGTGGGGCTGCGGGAAGCATCTGACCTTCCCGCCCGCCAGGTAGGGGTGGGGCTGGGCTCTGGCGGCCCCCGGGGCCTGCCTGGCATTCGCCACTGGGGCCTTGGCCTTGGGCGTGTTCGGGTGAACAGGGGCCACCCCGGCTGCCATTCCGGCTTGGGGTGGCGCCTTCAGAGTCCCCGCGGCCGGAGAGGACAGGCACAGCGTCCTCAGGACTGTGGCCACCTGGGCTGGGGTCTTGGACAGCATGGCCGCCAGGCGCATCTGGGCCGGGGGCTTGGTCGCCGAGGCGACCGGGCACGCCTGGGATGAGGTCTTGGAGGAGCTGGCCGCCGGGCTGGTCTGCGAGGAGCTTTTGGGCGCCGGGCGTGCCTGGGCGGGCGGGATCCTGGCCACCGGGGACGCCGGCGGGGGCGGGGTCTTGCCCATCAAGGCCATGTGCCGGGCCTGGGGCAGAGGCTTGAACATGGAGGCCAGCAGGCACACCTGGGGCGGGATCCTGGCCACCGCGGCCACGGGGCGTGGCTGTGGCCGCACGCTGCCCACCGAGGCCGCGGGGCGCGCCGGGATTGGGGTCTTGGTCGCCGCCCCGGGCGCCGGGCACATGTGGGCAGGGGCCTTGGTCACCGGGGCCTGGGGCGGGGCCTTGGCGGTTGTCACGGTGGGCGCTGGCGGCACGGGGCTCGCCTTGGGCGGGGTCTTGGTGGCCGCGGGCTCCGGGCACATCTGGAGGGGGGACTTGAAGGTCTCTGTCTCCACCTGGACCTGCGTCTGGATCTTGAGCGGTCTGGCCACCGCCTGGCCGTACCTCCCCGGCAGCGGCGGCTGGGGCGGCGGCTCCGGGCTGCCCACTCTGCTGGCCCCGGCGGCCCCAGGCTTGGCCTTCACCACGTTGCTCTCAACGTGGACCAGGCAGGTGCTCCTGACCGTCTCGGTCAGCAGGCAGGGCTGGCCCGGCTGGCACGGCGGGTCTAGGCCCACCGGGCAGGGAAACCCGATGGCGGCCGTGGGGGGCGGCAGGAAGGTGTGGGGAGCGGCCGGGCACACGGGCTCCGCGGGGGGCGGCGGCAGCGGGCACGGGGCCAGCCAGGGGCTGCTGGGGGCCAGGCTGTCGCAGGACGGGAACTGGGTCTCCTTGCTCAGCATTCTGCGCCGGGGGCTGGGGGGCGGCTGGCTCTCGCCCTGGGGCTGGAAGCGCACCTGCTGCGGGGCGTGGTAGGGGATGTCCCCCTCCTCGGCCGCCACCCTCTTCACGGTGGAGCGGCTAGACCGCAGCAGGCGCCGCATGCTGAAGCGCCGCCAGGCCTCCTGGATGGCCCTGGCCGCCGTCACCTGCGAGATGAGCTTCTGCCGCAGCCGGTAGCGCCTCCAGTTGGCCTGGATGAGGGTGGCCGCCCGGGCCAGCATCATGTCCATCTCGTCCACCAGGATGTTCTTGAAGGCCTGGCTCTCCACCACCACCCGCAGGCGCGGGACCGGCCGCGGCCCCGTCTTGGCCTCGGCCAGCTGCTGCGCCAGGCGGTCCCTGGCCAGCTGGGCCCCCCGCGGGGGCTGCGGGGAGCCGCCCACCCCATGGCTGCGGGGGCCGGGCGCCGGCTGCGGGAAGCACTGCCCGCCGGGCGGCAGCTGGTGCGGGGGCGGCGGCGGCCGCGCTGCTCGCTGCATCCTCCCGGGTCCGGAGCGGGGCAGCTCTGCCTGCGGGGGGGGGGGGGGACACGCGTGGGGCCCCTGCGGGCCGGCGCTGCCCCGTCATCCACCTGCCCTCTCCCGGCCACCCGGGTGGCCATCTCCCCGCAAACCGCGGCCACGCTCCCGCCTGCGCCCTGACCGCCCACCAGCTTTGCGGTCTCTGCCCGGGAACTCCCTCCGAGCAGAGCGCGGACCGCGCTGTTTCAGAGATTTCCTGTTTGCCTC